GCACTTGACTGCTAACCAGAAGGCTGGCGGTTCAAACCCACCAGCCACTCCTCAGAAGGAAGATGGGGCAATCTACTTCTGTAGTGATACTGACTCGGAAACCCAAGGAGGGGTCGCTATGAGTCAGGTCTGACTCAACGGCACATAACAACAACAATGTCTAGGATATCAATCTTTATGCATTTCACTGCATTTTTGACAACTTCCAATTTTCCTAGATTCATACTTCAGGATGAAACAGTGTTTTGTTCTGTTGTACATAGGGTCGCTATGAGTTGGAGCTGACTCGACAACATCTAACAACAACAACAACTATACTTCATATATCCCACATCTGATTATTAATGGATATTTGCAGTTGTTTGTTCTCATTTTGAGTTGAGCCACGTTGGCAAATGAAGGTCTCAAAAGTTTTATTCTATCCATGTCATTAAGGTCAATACTAATTTGAGGAGTGAACTCTTCCCTGTCACATTTTAAGTGCTTTCCAACCTGAGGGGTCCTCTTCTGGTACTATAACAGACAATATTTCACTGCTATTTGTAAAATTTCAAGTGGCCATTTTTTCCAGACAGTGTCCTAGTTTCTCTTGGTCTGGGAGCCTCACTGAAACCTCTCCACCATGAGTGACCCTGCTGATATTTGAAATAATGGTGGCATAGCTTCCAGAATCACAGCAACACGCAACCCACCACAGTACATTGTCTAAAGTAGGATTATTGAAGTATCTATGGGTTATCTGCAGGTAGGAGTCTTGGTTGCACAGTGGTTAAAACACTCAGCTACTAACTAAAAGGTGGGTGGTTTGAACCCACCAGTTGCTCCCCAGAAAAAAAAGAAGTGGCAGTTGGTTTTGTAAAGATTACAAACCAAAAAGCCAAGCCCACTATTGTTGAGTTGATTCCAACTTATAATGACCCTATAGGTCAGAGTGGAACTGCCCCATAGGGTTGTCAGGGTTGTGAAGCAGATTGCCACATTTTGCCACATCTTTCTCCAGTGGAAGGACTGGTGGGTTCAAAGCCTTGATCTTTGAGCTGGCAGCCAAATTCTTTTACCACTGTGCTAGCAGGGCTATCTGTAAAGCTCACAGCCTTGGAAATCCTATAAGGCATTTCTATTCTGTCCTGTAGTATCACTATGAGTCAGAAGCAACTGGACAATTTGGGTGGCAGTAGGTTTGGTTTGGTTTAGTATCTGAAACAGCTTTTCAGTTCAAGTAGTCCCCCAATGTATCCTTACAACGAATCCAAATTACTTACGCTGAACCTCACTTATGACCCTCTGCCCTCCCCCTTTTTTGGTACATCTTATGGTCAGTAATATGTACTACATACAATATTGCAGCACAGAATTTGCTGAGGTCCTCATTCTAGATGTTCATTTGCAGATGTCCAAAGATAGGATTCATAAAGATACTGAGAATGAAAACTAAAAGAAAAAAGAAATAGAATAGAGATATTTAATATAAGTCAGAAGCAATTTATGATGTAGTCATCAGAATCACATCTATCAGAAGATGAAGACTACCTATAATTCTAGAAGTGTGCCATTTTTTCAATCCAGGAAAAGAAAATGATTAAGCCAAATGATAACTTCAGGACCTAGCAACTGTCTTGAACTGAACGGATCATAGAGTAACTCTCTTCTGTCTCTCTTTTTTTTCATCTTGCTGCTTATTTCAGGAAGTAAAAATTATGAATGCAATGATTACATTATGATTACAATGCACTCTTTCTACAAAACTATCATGTATACTATTTGTTTCTTAAAAGCATGCTAGAAATTTTAATCTAGATGAAATGAAACCATTGTGTCTAACCCCTCCTCATCCCCATTCCTGCCCCAAGTCCAGATGTTCCTAAACATGCAAATTTGAAAGTAGGAATACAATTTTAATTTTATTAGCTCATTTCAGTGACTTAGAAAACTTTTACTATAAGGTTAAGTATTTGGTGCTATAATTTGAGCTATTATATTAGAACGACATTAGAACATTTTAACAATTATAAGTATTATATATATGTATGTATATATATATTCGGAAGGAAGGTTGGGTAATCTACTTCCATAGTGATGTTGCCTTGGAAACCCAAGGAGGGGTCACTATGAGTCAGGTCTGACTCAACGGCAAATAACAGCAACAACAACCATATGTATATATATATATATGATATATAAAACTGCTATATGGACTATTATTAATTAATCTTAATTTATAAAATTCACCAAAAATTGTCCTAATTTTATTAAGAATGCTATCATCATTCATACTAAATAATTATATAGTTCCATCATTGAGATTCATGTTATGCAAACAAATAAATTTTTTTCAAGTTAATGAATCATGAACTCATTAAGTAATAGATCACTTGCAATTAACATTTCTTTCATTAATTACAATTTTAATGTGGCCTCTTTTAGAATCCATAATAGATGGAGAGAGTTTTTAAATAAAATGTAGACCCTTTTTCTAGGCCAATAATGAATTAGTTGTTGAATTTCCTGAATTTTCCCTTCCTAGTCAAAGACTGGCACAACCAGCAGGACTGGCATAATCTTAGGGTCATGGTCTGGCACAATGACTCCAAAGTTAGTGTGGAAAAAGAAAGAGACAGGACCAGGGAAGGTATGTGGGTCATAAAAGATCGCTAATGGAGAAAGGGGTACTGGTGACAGCTTTCTCAGGATCCTCTAGGGATTCAATGGGTTGATGTGAATATTTTGGGAAAACAAACAAAAAAATCCATATAACTGCTAGCCTACTTAGTAAAATGCCATGTTTTCAACCAATATGCTAATCCTGTGCTGTGTTCCAGAGTAGGGCTTTCATATTAAAAACAAAAAGTCCAGCAGGATAGCTTTACCCATGCTCTGAGAATTATTAAAGAGGCACTCCATTGATTCTTGGAATTCCACCATTTTGGTAATAGATAACTTCAAAAGATTGAAGTTGTCAAAGGTTTCACATTACTTGGTCCCACAATCAACACCAATGGAAACAGCAGTCAAGAAATCAGACATCATATTGCACTGGGCAAATCTGCTGCAAAGACCTCTTCAAAGTGCTGAAGAGCAAAGATGTGTCTTTGAAGACTAAGGTGCACCTAGCCCAAACTTCATATGCATGTGAAAGTTGACAATGAACAGAGAAGACAGAATAGAGAAGACAGAAGAAGAGTTGACACTTTTGAGTTATGGTATTGGTGAAGAATATTGAAAGTATCATGGTCTGCCAAAAAAAAACTAACAAATACGTCCTGGAAGAAGTGCAGCAGGAATGTTCCTTAGAAGAGAGAATGGCCAGACTTCTTCTCACCTTCTTTGGTCATGTTGTTAGAAGGGACCATTCCCTGGAGGATATTGTGCTTGGCAATGTGGAGGGTCAACAAAGAAAGGGAAGGCCTCAACAAGATGGACTGACACTGGCTGCAACAATGGGCTCAGATACAGCAAGGATAGTGAGACTGGCACAGGACTTGGCAGAGTTTTGTTCTATTGTACATAAAGTCACTAAGAGTTAGAATTGACTGGATGACACCTACAAAAGCGTGTTAAGAATAGCTCAGTTTCTCTTTTTAGCCTGCTTTCCTATATGACCAGATGAGATTGAACAGGGTCAAAGCACTGGGCCTTTTGGGGGCATGTTTGAGTTTTCTAAGGCTGCTGTAACAGATGATCTCAGCCTAGGTGCTTGAAGTAACAGAAATATATTCTCCAACAGTTGTGGAGGCCAGAAATCCAAAATGAAGCCATCAGCAAGGTCATATTCCCTCCTAGGCCTCTGAGGAAAAACACATTTTGTGTCTCTTTTCTGGCTCCTATGGGCTGCTGGCAAACCTTGGCATTTCTTAGCTTGTGGCTGCCCTTCTATCTCTGGCTTTGCTTTAGCACGGCCTTTTCCTCTGGGTGCTGAGTGTATCGAATGTCTCATTCTTTTCTCTTCTAAGACTATCAGTCATTGGATTTAGGGCCAATCCTAAATGCAGGATGATCTCATCTCATAATCCTTAACTTAATGACACCTGCAATGACTAAATTTCCAAATAAGCTTACATTCTTAGGATTAGTACATATTTTTTGAGGCCACTATTCAATCCACTACAGGGAGTGAGTAAAAGTAGGGATGAGAACCCAGAAAAAGAGGTAGCAGACAGACCCTGAGGTACACTTCACAAATTTGTTCCAGTAGCCAAAGCTACAGGCATACACTTAACCTCAGTTTGGGCTCCTGAGTTCTCCTGGATCTCCTTTTTTATAGCATATGTTTATGGAAAAAAAAAAAGAGGGAAAGGTAATATAGTAAGGAATGTTTTGGGTTGCAAGTAACAAAATATACACATATAGTGGCTTAAACAAAGAGGAGTTCATTTTTCTCACATAGCAAATCTGGAAATAGGCAGCTGTTGGTGATGATTCAGTGACTCTAACTTGTTGGGACATTCCCACAATTTTCTTGTCTTCATGCTGACTGGCTTAGCTCCAGGTTGCAAATTCACATTTAAGGCAGGAAGAAAGAAAAAAAGACAAAAGTAGTTCTGTATATCTTTTATCTCAAAAAAGCAAAATCTTCTCTAGAACCATGGCAAGTATCAGTTATTCATTGCATTTTTATAGCATTTCATTGGCCAGATCTATGTTACATGAGCACCTCTACATGCAATGGTAACTGAGACAGGTAGTATTTAGCTTCTCTGGATTCTGCAGTGGAGGGAGGAAGTAGGGAAGAAGTGGGTTAGGTCTGTTTTAATTTGCCAATTAACAGAACTACCAAAGGAGGAGAGGTCTCTGTACTTATTTTAACAATGTCTCCTTTAACCACAAGCACATTAGAAACAAAGTGCGGTATGAAAAATAGTAGACTAGAGCAGGATTTCATTGCTAGCTTTGCCAGTATTCACCACTGAGTGGGCAATCTGAACTCACTGGCCTCAGAATCCCTTGTCTGGAAACCAGGCTGCTGGATTGGATCATTTATAGTGTTACTTTAACTCTGGAAGTCTATAATTCTACTAATTCAGTATCCACAGGGCATATCCTTTAGGTAATTTTCTAATTCCAGTAATGTTTTTCTGTTGATTTTGCCATATTAATGAGCATAATTACCGCCAGTGGAACAGGAGAGGACTATGGAAATGATGTTGTATTTGTTGTTGTTAGCTGCTATTGAGTCAGCTCCTACTCATGGTGATCCCCTGTAAAATAGAACCAAATGTTTCCCAGTCCTGTGCTATCTTCATTGTTGTAACCAAAACCAAACCAAACTCACTGTCGTCCAATTGATTTGATTGACTCTTGTGGCTGCTGTGCATTTTGAATGTCTTCCAATCTAAGATTTCATCTCCCAGCACTACATAGGACTTTTTTCTGTTGTGATCCCTAGAGTTTTCATTAGGAACTTTTTGGAAGTAGATTGTCAGACTTTCTTCTCAGTCTGTCTTAGTCTGGAAGCTCCTCTGAAACCTGACCACAATGGATGACCCTGCTGGTATTAGAAATACTGGTGGCATGGTTTCCTATATCATAGCAACTTGCTAGCCACCACAGTACAAAAACTGACAGATGGGTGGTGGTAACATATTATACAACTCCTTTATTCTATGAAATACGGTAGTTATATTGGTGCTGTTGTTGTTGTTGTTATGTGCTGGAGAGTCAGACATGACTCATAGCGACCCCTCCTTGGGTTTCCAAGGCAGTATCACTACGGAAGTAGATTGCCCCATCTTCCTTTCGAAGAGTGGCTGTGGGTTTGAACCGCCAGCCGTTGGTTAGAAGTCAAGTGCCTTAGGCACTAAGCTACCAGAGCTCCTATATTGGTGCTAGGGGAGTGAAAATCAATTTTTCTATTTTCTTCTTCATAACTACTTACATATTCCATTTTTAATCAGGGTGTGTCATCCTGTTCAGATCTATCCAAGTGTAGAAATGGCTACAGCAGTCAAAAATGTTTATTTAAAAGTAAGCGCAAAACTAGTGAGAACAAAGTAATTTCTAAAATATTTTGTTAGTTGCCAAATAAACCCTCCATCTCCTTTCAGGCCGAGGAACTACCCTCCCACCAGGCATATCTGAGTCAATCTCATCCCAGCCTCCTTTCCTCTTTCCTGGGCCCTGGTGAGTCAGATGTCCTTTTTCTTGGGTGGAAGAGGCTTTGTGAACCCACTCTAGTTTTCCTCAAAGGACCAACTCATGGGGCTATTATGATGAGGCTGGATAATTTTCCACACAAGTACATGAACTCAATCAGGCAGGAAATGAGGCCCTCAAATTAAATCAAAGGTTGTGGCAGCATCTATGTGTACTTTTCCAAAACCCAGTAAGAGACAGGGTTCCATTTCACATGGTATGAAAAATCAATAGGCAAGGAAGGGTTTCAATCGTTTAAGTGCAGCACGACTAAAATTGTCCGTGGAGAGCTCACAAATGGAATTCTGACAGTCATTAAACCTTTGACAATTTAAAAGCACACAAATAAGTGAAATATATGTTCTGCTGAAACTAGGTTTAAAGCACTTTTCTTTACCTAAAGTGCAGGCATCAAATATTTGACTCCTATATACTAAATATGAGGTGGGGTGGATATCAGTTTTACACCATTAAGAGAAGTCTCGTAGTCAAAGTCTATTATAGTATACAGGAAGGAATGAGATGAACTATGCTTGCTGTTACGTGTCACAGAGTCAGTTCTGATTCATAGAGATCCTATAAGGCAGAGCAGAACTGTCCCACAGGGTTTCTAAGACTAATCACTAAGGAAGAAGCCCTAGTGGCACAGTGGTTAAAGCACTTGACCAGCTGCTCCATGGGAGAAAGATGTCACAGTCTGCTTGGCTGTTAACTGAAAGGTCAATGATTTGAACCCACCAGCTGCTCTGAAGGAGCAAGATGTGGCATCTGCTTCTGTAAAGAGGTATAGCCTTGGATTGTGGGGAAGTCCTATTCTGTCCTAGAGGGTCACTATGAATCAGAAACGTTTTTGTTTTTATTTTTTACTGTTCTTAAGGACTCAAACACATAGACAATCATAACGAAAGTGCAGGGCCACAGGACTAGGTGATGTTTCCTTTTGTTTTACATCAGGTTGCAATGAATTGGAACCAATTCAATAGCAACAAATACCAACATAATATTCTTGGTTTCCCCACGTCTGCATTTCCACCCAGTCTTTACTTTTAAGTGTATCACTTCAGCTTTTGGCACTTAGCGTTCCTGCAAGATCTCTAAGGGGTTATGTAGTTGAGATACTCCTCCCAAGAGTTTCCTAATAACTTTGTCCAGAGTGTGGGTAAGTAGTACCAGACTTAAGGAAGTGGTCTTCAAACTCTTTTATTAATTTAAGGGAAAATGACATAAATTATGTTTCATTTTCATTTAAAAAAGTAAAAAAAAAAAAATTCTTACACAGTTTTAATCTGACATCTGTAAATTTATATAAATTTATATAAATATATAAATAAACTTAAGTAGTTCCCAAGAATGTTATTTGTGATATGTTGATACTATTGACTTTTAAAAATAAAATGGTTACATCAATTTTTAAAAATCTCCAGTGGAATTTAGATTTAATCATTTGATACCCATAAGCATATATTTTTTTAATGTACAGGAGCAAGCCCTTCTTTAACT